CTCTAAGAAACCTCCTTCTCTGTGTCATTTCTTGTTACTCTTCTCCAATTCATTCATATGCGGAAATTCCCCTTTCATGCTTTGGGTGGGGTCTGCTTCAGCAGGCACAGGAAAATCACAGCCAGCTGCTACTGTTCTAGCTGATACCACTGCAAGGGAGACTGTGGTTTGAAGGGTAAGGAAGTGACAAGAAATCAAATCTGACCCTCACTGCCTTGTGTAAAGGGACTGTTGTCCCCTTACTGACATTCAGTGGGGCTGTTTTGGTTGGCTAGCTACCAGTACTAAAAGGGGAAGGGTTGATGGGTAATCAGGACCCTGAGACTGACAGTCCCCAGGAACAATGGGGAGAGGCCAACGCTCCAGGTCAGCCTCATTGACAGGGCGGGCAGGCTAATCAGGGAGTCAGGAGGCCAGGGTGGGTCCCGTCCTCCATGTGAGCTGTATTTGCCTGAGTCAGTCAGGGTGGGGCTGAGCTAAGGAGAAAGCAGGGGCCTGAGCTTAGCTGGGGAGCAGAGATGTACCAGATCCAGAGGGGCCAGAAAAGCAGCCCAGAGAGAGCAGACCCTGTGCTGGGAGCAGGGCTGCAGCCACAGAGCAAGAGACAGAGCCCAGAGAGAGCAGACCTGCCCTGGGAGCAGAGCTGTAGCAACCAGAGCCGGAGGGGCCAGAGAAGCAGCACTGCTGAGTTAGAGTGGAGCTGGAGCTGAGACGGAGTGGTGGAACTGGGGCTGGAGCAGTCTGGAGCCAGGTGCTGTGAGCAGCTGGGGAGAGCCAAGGAGGGACCCTGGGCAAAGGGCCCAGCGCAGAAAGACACCCCCAGCCAAAGGTCCTTGCATGCCAGACTGTGAGAGGGATCTTAACCGAATGGGGGGCTGACGCTGGGAAGAAGGGTCCCACCACCCAAAGCCCGGAGGTGTGTGGCCACCACCAGAGCAAGTGTCCAACCTGCAGCATCCCTGCTGCACAGCTAGGGCCTGAGAAGAAGGCCTGGGACCTACAAGGAACAGACTGTGAACTGCCCTGACGTTACAGAGACACTGTTTGTAATGTTCCCTGCCACAGAGCGGGGTGATGTGTTTTCCTTTAACCTTTCCAATTTTTCTTATTCCTTTTTAAACTAATTGCTGATTAAATAAATTGTATTTGCTTTAAATCATATGTAATGATCAGTGGGTCAGAGAAGTGTCCACTGCAGAGAGAGTACCCCGGAGTGGGGACACACTAGCCCCTGTCCTAGGTGACCACAGCAAGGTTGTGGGTCGAGCCCCCCAGGAATCCTGGGCCCAGCCTTGTTGGGGTTACAAGGACTCTCCCAGACAGAAGAGTAGAAGGGGAGTCCTCGAGGGCAAGGAGGCCTCTGGGTAAAGGAAGTGGGAGCAAGGACTCAGATTCTTCTGCTAGCCCATTTCACCAGGGTAGTGCAGAAGTCAGAAAGTTCCCCACAATAGCGCGACCATTCCCCCACTTACATTTGCTACTAGGATTGTAACAATAGCCACAGTGGCCATTATAAATTACATACCAACTTACTGGAGGTGGTAAGGCTTGCTTTGGAGGGATTATTGCTTCTTTATGGGTGACGGACAATTGTGATTTCTCGGGCCAATGCACTGTTGCATTCTTTTTAAATTTAGGAAAGAATATTACAGTGGGCAGTGCCTGTTCCATTATTATCCTCTCTGTGAAATTACATTACACAGTAGGTAATTATGCAAATTCAATTATGGACATGTATAAAGCAATTAAAATGGAAGTCTAGGTTACATATAGATAGATATATATACATATTGATATAGGAAATGGAAACGCAAGTGTTTAAGGTATAGATTTCCTTTCCCCAATTCTGATTCTGTATTTTGAAAGGATCACTCACTATCACAGCCAGAAACACAGAATATACAAGAGAACAGTAGTTGGAATGGAAAAGGGCTGCTAAAAAACTGTCAGAATCCCCCAGAGTCTTGTCCCTGTAGATTCCATCTTTTTCAAAGCTATGGGCATCACTTCTCTGCTGAGGATTACTTTTCTCCACTCTGTTTAGTCTGCCGCTTTCTCTGATGTTTTCTGAAGCTTAACATGCTCAAAATTAACTATGTTTCCATGAAACCATCTCTTCTCTGGCAACAACACGAACATTTTCTACTACCTAGTTTTTGCCTGTGAATCTGCTCATATCCGGACCTTCACCAAATCCGGTGTCTACAAAAAATATTTTTCTCTTTAACCCAACTGTCAAATCTGTAGACTATGCTCTAGCTATATCCCAGCTGTATTACTGCAACCTCTCTTCTCTCTGGACTCTGCTTCTCATCCCTCTTATCCATCTTATTTTACTGCTAAGGACAACAACCCACTTCCCTTTGCTCCTTGAAAATAGGCCTGAGAACTGATCTGTTCCACAAAGCAAACTTGCTGGAATGGCCGTATGTTGGTCTACACCTTATTGTTCCGTATGGTCTCGAAGCTCTTCTGCACAAGGATTCTGAGCATTTTTTGGCACACTCTAACAACTGAAGAACCCTGTGTCCATTTGTGGTGCAATATAAATAGCAGCAGCAATAATAATAATAATTAATAATAATAATGTTTCAAGTCCAGGTCCTTAAGAGTGCAGGGCGTAGTCCCACAGAGGAGGACATATCTCAGATATGGTTCTGATCCTTCACTTAATCTTAACTGAAATGATGAGTTGCTTCAACAACACTACACACAACAACACACCATGTGTATAAGAGAGCTTAGCTTAAAGGGTTTTCAGCACTGTGATGCCATTTCCCTCCCCTTCATTTAAGCCTCACTCCCGCTCCCTCTGTATATGCTGCCACTGCGGAAGCCACCACTGACCAAAGAACTAACAGCACCCACTCCAGACAATGCAATACCATCCCCAACTGCAGTCTGTTGGCTTGGCACAGAGAGCCTAAGGGCAGATTTGTACCTTTCCATTAAACGACTACTGCAGTTCAAGCCAATCTTTATTAAAATCTAGTTACTGAGAGCTTTGGGAGAATAGCCAACGTATACAATGTTATATCCTTTCTGAAATAAACTAGCACAAAAGGCTTATTCAAATTGTTTTACGTACAGGTTTGCATAAGAGATATGTAGCCTAAATGGCAGGTAGGATCCCTTTCTCTCGTTGACTGATTGATAAATTATAGTATCCCTTTCTTTTCACCTCCTCTTGTGGTGCAACTTTGGCCACCACTTCTACGCCGATGGGCACTCTGCCTCTCTCTCTCAATGACATTCCCAGCTCTCCTTTTTCTTTGCATCTTAGATCTCTGACACCACTCCATCAATTGGAGCCATGTACTGGTGCTCGAGTAAACAAGAGGTAAACATAAAAGCACTGAGGTGACAGTGTCCATGACAAATGGATTTTGTTAGATTCCCAAGAACTGGCTAGTAGAAAACTGAGGTGGAAGGATAAATCGTTTCCCTCCAAAGCAACTCAAGGCAATTGCTGTTACAATGAGACTCTGTTACAGGCGCAAACACTGTTGTGCCTGCACCACATCAAATTTTAAGGTCATTTTGTCATCCTGGGCATCTGGTTTTCCGATTTTGAAAAATTTAGTGCTTTTATTTCTGAAAATAAGTTATTTATTCTGGTATTGGTAGTCACACTATACAAGTATAAAAAGCGGGTTGCTCATCTCCAAACTCCTTTGTTTGTTCTAAAACCTCACCAGTTAACCCCAAAAGAAAGCTTTAAAGATAGGTCAGAAAAATGCACCATTGCCATAAAGCTCTTCCAGATTTCAGTCAGAGTTCATAGCAGTTAAGTTCCTTTTCAGCATGCCTGTCCCAGTTTTTGCATCTCAACCCTGTATTCATTAGCCTTTAGTTCAGCTTGTGTGAACCTAATAATACAGCTATTGTACACCAGGAGGGTTGGGTCCCTCCCCACCACCACCAACTGTCTGTTTTACAGCATTGGTTTAGCAAAATAAATAAATAGCTGTTTCTACAGTTTAATTTAGAACAGCTCTGCTGAAGCTCAGTTGCCTATTGGACTTCAGTTCTTAGTTTAAACTTAACTTTGACGATCTACAGTTAACCTCTCGAGTATTTGTAGCTGTACTTAACATGCACTTTTTTTCCTTGCATGTTAAAAAGAAAAACAGCACAAGTATATTTTGGTATGATTTTCACTGGAAAAAAAACATAGAGATAATAAAACTTTCCTCAAAAATGCGCTGGTGTGACAAGCAGGCTGCTAGCTGGCTGGCTGGATAGCAGCTGCTGTTTGAAGCATAAACTTATTAGCAAACATTAGACTTTTCATTCATACACTACTTACGTGTCTCTGCTAAACAAAGCTGCAGCAAGCATAATCCAAAAGTTGCACACAACAAAAACTTGCTCATTGTTTCTTAGAGTTACTTTGCCAAAACTAAGGAGATCCTTGAAGGGTGCACAAATCAAAAAAGCCTTGTTCAGCCTGCAGTCAATGAGCTCTGAAGTTTGCTGCAGTTTTTATTCCGATTCTAAAGAAATTGAAACAGTGACATAACAGGGAGGGGGAGCTGAATCAAAAGTCACACCCATGTCGAAACAAAAGTAGAGCGAGCAAGGGGCGGGGGTGGGGGGAAGCTACTACTTCTGAGTAAGCAGCTACAGCAGGGTTTTAAAGAGGCACCAAGACTCTTTTACTCATGAGTGTAATATTACTGCTTCTTCGCTGGAAAGTTTCTGCAATGTCTCACAAGTTAGCTTAGAAAGGGACTGACTGTTATCAGCATCCACTCCCTTAGCCTGTTTAAAAGCCTCTTTATTATAAGAGACAGGAGAACATAAAATATCTGAGTTTTAGAAACCCACCAAAGCATCCGCAACTCTCCAAAAACATTTCTAAATGATATTTTTCTCTTTCCATTTTCTCTCCCTCATTTTCCAATGAATTAAGCGCTGGCGAAAAAGCACTACAGTGACAGCACAGGGATACGATGTCCAGGTGAAGCACAGGTAGATTAGATTTCCTTCACACTTACCTTCTGGCAACATGCCTCTGTTCTGATCTGGAGAGACCACCACTGCAGTAAGTATGAGGGTACAGCTCAGTCTCCATGGCCGATTGAATTCGTGGCCTCTCTGCAGACATCACCAACAAGAGAGGTAAATAGCACCAGTTATAATGGTGGGTTGTTTTGTGTCAGAGACATCAGATGCTCACTGGGAGCTGGGTTGAAACCAATGATTCCTTATTTTTATGGTGTAAGAGGGGAAGGACTTATTTACTTTATTCCAAAAAGACAATGTAAGAGTCAGTGAAAGTTTGACATTTTTTGTTTTCTATATGTACATATATTCATTGCAGTGTTGGGTTTTATGTTAATTTAATGCTGTTGAAAGGTGCCAGTGAAAAGACTTGGACACTGCTTATGCATGGGCGGGTACAACATGGGCACTAAAAGTGTAAACTCCCGCCATCCTGCCCTGTCCTGTTCACGCTTCACGGTCCATCCATACCTCGACATCCCAGCTGATGTCAGTTATAGTGGTGGTTTACATGAAGTAGACATCGCTTCACTTGGCACTGGACAGAGACCACAGTGCCCATTACACATCAACCTTTAACAACGAGGAGATGGCAATGGCTTTCAGTCACTATTGATAATATTTAGTCCTGCCTTGAGTGCAGGGGACTGGACTAGAAGACCTCCCGGGGTCCCTTCCTGTCCTACGATTCTATGATTGATCAGGGCTAGATTTCAATGAGAAACCTACAGATTAAAGACAGGTTTCAGAGGAACAGCCGTGTTAGTCTGTGAAGTGATCTGATGAAGTGAGCTGTAGCTCACGAAAGCTCATGCTCAAATAAATTGGTTAGTCTCTAAGGTGCCACAAGTACTCCTTTTCTTTCTACAGATTAAAGTTTCTATATCATTTTACTATTGATACTGTTGAACCATCCGTTCCACACATTAAAGATCTTTTATATACATTTTTAGTTTTGCATAAGATAAACAATGGAAAAGTATAGAGCACAGGTTCTCCCAGCCACAGGCACTAAATCTTTACACAAGTAAGGAAATTTCAGGACTTTCACTTTTGAATGTGATTTGGGAAATAACACATAGTGTTTCAGGATGTGCCTGTAAAACTTAGCAGGAGACCCAGTGCTTTCACATACAGGGGAACAGTAAGTTTTCAACTGGCGAATAGAGGCGGGTTCAAGGACACTCTTAGTCTCTAAAGGAAAGTGATGGAAGGTCCCAATCTGGGGCACCTTTCAAACTTGATTGGACAAATCTCTAGGAAGTGTATTATAAAGCACTGGATTAGGCCAGGATGATGAGAGACAGTGGATGAACTGGATCATCTAATAGGTCTTTCCAGTATCTAATTCCATTATATGAAATAGAAAATCCAGAGTGAAGTTAGGTTCTGGGAGTATTTACAATGCAGACATAATGAATCTACTGAGAGCAGTGACTGCTTTTGTAAACATTTCTAATAAATCATACTTAAAGATGGTTGGCTCCCCCTTCCTCGGCTAGCCCCAATTTTAGCAGCAGCTCTAGAATATCTAATGGGACATGGTCAAAGTGGAAGCCTTTCCTCAAATCATGCAGAGTTTTGTTTCTTATGTAGCTTACAACTTCAAAGTCACACTTAAAACATATTCACTGAGTGGATATAATGATTTCTCTTCGTTTAAGCATGTTTTCTAATCTTTTAATCATTCCCATGGCTCTTTTCTAAGCACTCTCCAATTTATCAACATCCTTTTTGAATGGGGATACCAGAACTGGTCACAGTATTCCAGCAGTGGTTGCACTAGTATCAAATGCAGAGGTAAAATAACCTCTCTACTCCTTATTGTTTCAAAAGAAAATTTGTATTGTTCATAGGCTTATAGCCTATTGTGAGTGTATTATAGCCTATATTTCTCCACTTGTAAAACTAGACTACCTTTGGACTATGGGCCAGATTATGAAAGGTTTAGGTGTTCTCGGATAGGCACCTACTGGGATTTTCAAAAATCTGGCCATATGTGTCTATTGGACTTCACTCATTGGAAGGAAAACATGTAACCAGTGTTGTAAAACTCTAAAAAACTACATGAAACAGCTGTTTTTACACATAAAACATCACTGTTTTAAGGCCCAACCAGCTTTAGAAACAAAAAGCCAGCTCTTCAGCTGATGTAAATTGTAGAGTTCCATTGACTTAAAAGAAACTATGCCCATTTACAGCGGTTGAGGATCTTTCTCAAAAGCCTTTCCCCTCTGGAAATGGGAATTCTTGGCTTTCTACTGGAATAAAGCTTCCACTTCTAGTCTCTGTGGGTCCCAAGGCAACAGATCATAAACCCGTCACTCATCCAGGACTGAATATAATCCTGCACCTCAAAATAGTGTAATTTTGGGGAAAATTCCACATTGGGGTGGGGTTTGGTTAGAAAATATTTCTTTGGTAGATTGTTGTATGGGACTGTACAGGGATTTGGAATGTTAGTAGTAGTCCAGGTGCATAGATGGATTAGTGCATAGTTCAAGAGAGGCAGTCAGAGGTACATGATAAACGCAATTTATCACATGGATGTCACCCCATGTGATAAACTGCAGAGCCAGGTGATAAATTGCGTTTAGTATGTACTTTTTTCCACCTCACCTGCCCTCTGCCCACTAATTCATCTCCCTAGGACTTATTCTAACATTCCAAACTATTAAGCAGCTTCAAACAGTTGTCTTTAAACAATACCTGACACAAAACTATTTCCTCCTTTTCCACCCAAATGTGGAATTTCTCCCCCCAAAATACATTGGCCTGAGGGGTAGGTTGATCATAATTTAGCTCAGATTTAGGGTCCACAATGCTAGATGGCTAGAAAAGGGAGCTTTATGACATTGGAGAAAGGAATTGCCTATCGTTTTAGTGGAACATGCAGCACTTATGTTTAACCTGAGACAACACCATGACATAGGCACATAAAAACCCTCTGCCGGATCCTCAACTGAAGTAAATCAGCACAATGCCATTGATTTACCAGAATTGAGGATTTGGACCCATGAAATTATTAGGTACCAAAAGGATATTTTTATAGGAAAATATTAGAAGTTTCTAAAATATATTTCTTAGAGTTTTTTTACTCCCCCAGTCCTCTGTACAGTTGGATTCATGGAATTAAAAGAACTTGGCTACAAAGTCAGAAAAACATCAAAAATAACACAACTAAAAATTTTAAACTCTCTCAAACTTTTTCTAAAATGGCTTTTCTGTAAAACATCTGGAATATGGTATAGATAGAAGTTTTACCATTCATTCGAGCACCTGAATAACTCATTCTTTGTTTCATCATTCATGGTTAATCTGTTTTGCTCCTCTGTTCCCACTCTGAAATCTTGTTTGCTAAATTTCAGCCTAGCTTTAATTGTCATGGCTAATCCTGAAACAAGGTTTTGTAATGGAAATGGTCCTAAAGTTTCCTTGTAGCAAACACTGCTTGAGTGCACCTTTCCTTGGGCTCCAGGAGCTGACAGGGAGGGAATAACAGAGTCTGTGCTGAGTAGTTGGAGAAGCTGCTTCTTTGGCTTGAGGGCAAAGCACTCCCTTGGGAAGTTGGGCACCTGATTCTATTCCCATCAACCTTTTGTTCCCAGATGTAATTTACAGCCTGTGTCCTGCACAGCATTAGGAAGATGAACAATGGCCCCCAGCCGTTTACTTCTAAAAAGAAAAGCAACCCAGAACGGTACCTTCATGTTCAGCCTCCTCAGCTCTCAGTCTGTGTTGCTGCTTTGCCTCAGTTCTCCCGAACACAAGTTAGACCAATACAGAGCAAAAACCGCAATGGCTTCAGATATTCAAATTTATTGTCAAGGACACTTTACAAACGCCCTTCTATTTTAGAACACGTGCCTCCACCAGTTTCCTTAAGCTAATGTTTAATCAAAGCATTTGGTCCCTGGCCAGCCCATAGAGCTTGCAGCACTGCACAGAGTAGTCAGATTGCCCATCCCACTTTATAATCTCCCCACCATCTACCACTTCCTACATGTGTGTTTGAGACAGGGATGCATAGTGGGAGATCTACACAGAGCACACTAGAGATGCAGTCACAAGCCAGAAGTGTGTGCTAGCATGCAGCAGAGTCATACTGAATGCATTAGTTATTAACCAAGTCAACATTATGTGGAGTTTCGGGGGAAGGGGGGAAATAAGCTCTCTCTGTAGGTGGTTGGAATCATTCCCTCTGCCACCTCGGGAAAGCCTGATGTGGAGTAATGAGAACCTGAAAATGTATGTCTCAGGGTATAAACTGCCACATAATCCTCTTTTCAGAGTCAGCCATGTTAGTCTGTATTTGCAAAAAGAAAGGGAGTACTTGTGGCACCTTAGAGACTAACCAATTTATTTGAGCTCACGAAAGCTTATGCTTAAATAAATTTGTTAGTCTCTAAGGTTCCACAAGTACTCCTTTTCTTTTTGCATAATCCTCTTGTCCCTCTTTCCTTTCCAGCTTAGTAATAGGTGGAACATGCACATTTGGGTCTCTCTCTCAATGTGTCTTATTCTATCCCTTGTCTCTCTCTCTCCTTCCCTCTCTGCCTTTTCTTCCCTTTCTATTCCTCTCCTCTGAGACCCTCCTCTCTCCCTCACCCATAGCCTCTCCAGCCCTCACCCATTTACCTCCTCTTCTCTTTCTTCCCCCCATCTCATACTCTTTCCCCTCTCCCAGACCTCTCTGTCCTGTCTCTCATCTACCCTTCCTCCTTTGTACACTGTGTATTTGAATGGTTGGGCCAAAATTATACAGTCCTAGCACAACGGATGAGCCAAACAAAATGCACACATTCCTGCTGCCTGAGTAAAACTCTACATTTACATATGCAAAATGTTAGCTGCATGTGCAAATAGGTGTTTTTTGTCCTCAGTTGCCTAGTATGGGCCTGATCCAAAGCCCTTGGAAGTCAAAGGGAATCTTTCCATTGATTTAAGTGGGATCTAGATCAGGCCATATGTTCATCCAGGTTTTGGCACAAATGTGGGTTTTTGTCCAGTCACATGCATTGTGCGTGGCTCACCTGTTGCATGAACATTTTTCTCTGTCTGTGTGGAGAGTAGAGGTGGCATTGCATGGTCAGATTCACAGCCAGTGATAAACACAAAATACGTTACTACTTTAAAAAAACAGAAGCCAAAATCATGTTGGATTCATCTGTGTGACAGTTACTGTTTGCACAGTAACACTGCTGGATGTGTGCCGCCCCTGTTACTTAGACTGCAACATTTATGTTGTGTACCAAATACAAACATGCGGGAATGAATTTTCAAGTCTTTCCTTTCCATTAACAAACAACCTACTAAACCAGGTGTCGGCAACCTTTCAGAAGTGGTGTGCCGAGTCTTCATTTATTCACTCTAATTTAAGGTTTTGCGTGCCAGTAATGCATTTTAACGTTTTTTAGAAGGTCTCTTTCTATAAGTCTATATATTATATAACTAAACTATTGTTGTATGTAAAGTAAACAAGGTTTTCAAAATGTTTAAGAAGCTTCATTTAAAATTAAATTAAAATGCTGATCTTATGCCGCTGGCCTGCTCAGCCCACTGCCAGCCTGGGATTCCGTTCACCTAGGCCGGCAGCAGGCTGAGCGGGGCCTGCGGCCGGGACCCCGGCTAGCAAGGGGCCGGGCAGCCAGAACCCCAGACCGGCAGTGGGCTGAGTGGGGCCAGTGGCCAGGACCCCAGATCAGCTGTGGGCTGAGCGGCTCAGCCCGCTGCCACTCAGCCCGTTGCCAGTCAGGGGTTCCATCCGCTGGCTCCTGCCAGCCAGGGTCCCGGCTGCCGGCCGGGCTCAGCCCACTGCCGGTCTGGGATCCCAGCCCTGCCCACATAGAGTGGGTACCTACCTTCTACCTGATTCTAGCCCATTCTCATCCTCTCTCTCTGCACTGAGATGATGGTGGGAGTGTGCTGAGAACAGGACTGGGGGTAAGGAGCAGGCTGGGGGTTGGGGTGTAGGGTCTGGCCAGGAGCTAGAATGAGGGAGGGGGGTCAGGGTTGGGGCAGGAGGTTTAGGTGTGGAGTGCTTACCTAGGCAGCTCTCATTTGGTGCAAGGGGTGCAGGAGCTCCCATTTGGTGCTCAGGGTGCGGGTGAGAATGTGGGAGGTGCAAGAGTCAGGGCATGGGGTGTGGGGGGGCTAGGTATGTGTGGGGGTGCCGGGGTTAGGGCAGAGGGCTCGGGGCATGTGAGGGGGTGCAGGATTCAGGGCATGGGGTGTGGGGGGTCCTGGAGTCAAAGCTGGGGTTGTGGCAGGGTGCAGGGGTCAGGGACGAGGTCTGGGAGTTGGGGGGGTGCAGGAGTCAGGGCAGGAGGCTGAGGTGTGTGGGGGGGTGTAGGGGTCAGGGCAGAGGGCTGGAGGTGTGGGCTAGGGTCATGGGGGTGCTGCCAGCCCCCTGCCCAGAGCGGCTCACAGCAGGGGCCTGGAGGGCATATTCCACACCCTTCCCCAAGGCCCCATCCCCACCTCGTCTCTGCCTCCTCCCTGGAGCAGTGAGTGTGCTGCAGCTCCGCTTGTCCCCCTCCCTCGCAAGGGCCATCAGCTGATGGGTGGCAGGGAGGGAGAGGAGGAGGAGCAGGAACCCAGCACGCTGGGGGAAGAGGTGGGGGAGGAGGGAGCTTGCCTGCCCTTGAGCAGCAGCCAGCAGGACCAAGCTTCTTCACCCTGCCCCTGCGATGGGGGTGGGGGGGTGCAGAAGAGCAGGCTGGGGCGGGCAGGATTTTGAATGGCATGCTCCTGCCTGCCGGGGTCCCGGCCTGGTTTCGGCAGCGGGCTGAGTGGGGCCGGCGGCTGGGACCCGGCAGGCAGCAGCGTGCCATTAAAAATCGGCTAGCGTGCCATCTTTGGTTGCCAACCCCTGTCCTAAACCATACATACTCTGTATATAAACAGGCACAATCGCAGTTTGGCTGCCAACCTGTATTTAACCATCAGTACGTGATCCCAGTGCAGAGTAAATATGAATGAAAAGCATGATATTTTTATAGACCATAATAGGCATGTGTTTGTTTTCAGTGACTAAGGTAATAGCTGGTTCCATGTGGGAATTGGGAGGGAAGGTGCAGGCGTGTGCATTGCATATGAGAGACAGCATCCGCGGGAAGCATAGTCATTGACTGCTGGTTTGGAACAGTTATGTTTTGCCAAGTAAGTTAATGTGAGGAAATATGCCTGTCTTCTTACATTCAGTCTGGTTCTCCTCTGAGAATAATAATAATCCGTAGCTCTTATATAGCACTTTTCCTCAGGAGATCTCTCAGTGCTTTATAAAGAAGAGCAGTATCATTATCCTTGTTTTACAGATGGGGCAACTGATGAAGAAGATGAAGTAATTTGCCTGTGGTCACCCAGCAGGCCAGCAGCAATTTTGTCTCTTGTGTCCTAATCCATTTTGCTGTCCACTAGAAGAGTGCATTTCTGCTTCTTCCTCACCAGAACAGCTCCTTTTTCATTTTCAGAGTCAGATCTGATGACTCTAGTGACAATAGGGTTGTCCAGATTTTTATTCCTATTAGCCCTGCAGAGTTAACACAGCTAAGATTGAGTGAGCTAGATTCTATTCCTTCTTGTGGAACAATGAGAGATTATTTACTTAGCTTTAATCATTTACACCTCTGAAAACCCACTGAGGGCAATGGGACTGCACTGGTGTCTCCAAAAGTCCAACTAGAAGGCAGTGAGCCTGCAGAGATGTTGCAGGGGGCCCATCCCTTATTATTGGAGATGATGCACAAAATGGAAAGAACCCAACCTGGTTCTTATAGCCAAGTCTGAGTTTGCAACTCAGAAAATCATCTTTTTATTTGTAACCTTCACACATTTGTAACCTTCATTTGATACGGAAATTGCTGGGAGGAAATAAATATGGTTGACGAGTGAATTTTTTTCACTGTGTAAACAGACAAAACTGCATAATTGTGGATGTCTCTAAAGACAGTGTTTTGTTAAATTGGGTGGGTGGGCAGAAAAACAAGTGGCATGAAATTATGCGAGTGGAGGGAATTTCCACAGTTTTGCACATAATTTTGCAGACGGGTAGAGAAATAGGTGTGGGGACAGTGAGAGTTGAATACTATCATAAGATGGTGAACTAATCTTAGAAACAGGAATTGCCACATCAGAACACATCAATCATATCTCTAGTCCAAGGTTCTGCCTTAAACAATAGCCAGTGCCAGATACTTCAGAGAGAGAAGAAAACACTCATATTGCACCTCATTGTGCAATATGATACCATGATGGGAAAGAGTTCAGCCACATACTATACCTCATTCATTTTCAATGCACTGTTATAGTAAGTGTCCTTCTCAATAGAAGCTGAAGCTTATATTTTACCTGTCTTATCTTTTTCTTAGTTCTCTGGGACAGCAGAACCCTTTTAAATTTTAGTTTGAATTTGAGGGGCAAGTTCCAGATCCACAATGGACTGCACAAGAATAGGAGCCAGGAATGCTGGAGTTCCAGTTTCTGCTTTGGCACCAACTCTCTGTAGCCTTGGATAAGTCAGCCTCAGTTCCCCGCATGTAAACAGAGATAATAATTATAGCAGAGCAAAGAGTGAAAATATTTCCTATGAATATTAATTTAAATTTGGAAATGCATCTCTAGTCAATTGTGGATGCAACCTTTAGGTTTGCTTTTTACAGACATTTGAGCTTACAGGCATTATCAGCAGATATACACACAGAAAGGAAACTCTATGCTCCAATAACCATCAAGTGAATTTCATTTTTTATTGAGTTGTAAAAAACAAACAAACAAACAAAAAAACCCTGTTGGTTAATTACGTAAATCATCCTATCAGGGAACAGAAAC